AGGTTCCCCCCCAGGCTCTGGATGGGGCACAAACGTCTCGCACGGATCGTTCGTGGAGCAACGACGCCCACGAAAAAGATTCCGTCACCCCAGAGGCCATGCTCCAGGGTCCCGCGGCCACCTCCTCCATCCACACCGTCCCCTCCAACCCCCCCCCGCCGGAAGGCTGCAGGTCGGCCCTAGTCATCTAACCTACAATACAGGGCATTGCCCGTGCCAGTACGGCTAGTGCGGGGGCACCCCCGCCGGGCCCTTGGGGGGCGGCACCTCGGCGGCTCCGCTCGTGGAAAGGGTCCGCGAGGGCCCCCAGAGAGCCCACGATGGCTTCCAGGGAGCCCCAAGAGAGCCCAAGACGGCCCAAGAGGCCTCCACGACGGCCCAAGAGACGCCCAAGTGGCGTCCCAGGATGGCCCCAACAGGCCAAAATTATTGGTTTTCCCGATTGAAAACGTACATTTTGAGCATATGCGGCTTCTCGGCGTTCATGGCGCTGAAGACGGTCCAAGAGGCCCCCAAGACCGCCCCAAGACGGCCCAAGAGACTCCCAAGAGGCCCCCAAAACGCCCCAAAGGCAGCCCCGAGAGGGGGACCTCGAACTCAAGATCCCAGCCTTCCGCCCCAAGTCGCCCCCAAGAGGCCCCCAAGAGGCCCCAAGAGGCCCCCGAGAGGTCCAAAAGAGGCCCCAAGATGCCCCCAAACGGCCCCCCAAAGGCTTCGAAATTGCCTCCGAGAAGCCTGCGAGAAGCCTCCCCAGAAGGCCACCTCTGGAACAACCCCCCCATCTGGCCCAGCACGGCACCCAAGGTTTCCGAAATCGGCCCACCGTGGCCTGGGTGGACTCCCAGGAAGCCCTGAAATTTCCAATTTCACTGAAGCCCCGTCGGATTGGAAAACCACACACACGCACACGCACGCGCACACGCACACGCACACGCACACGCACACGCACACGCACACGCACACGCACACGCACACGCACACGCACACGCACACGCACACACATCACACACACACACACACACACACACACACACACACACACACACACACACACACACACGCACGCACACGCACACCACACACACACACACACACACACGCACACACACGCACACACACACACACGCACACACACGCACACACACGCACACACACACACACACACGCACACACGCACACACACACACACACACACACACACCACACCTCTTGGGACACCTCTCGCATCGTACCTCACGTCTCCTGGGACACGCGGCGTGCGAGAGAGGCCTCAGAAAACAGCGTCCCTGGGTGCCGCGGGGGGGGCAGGACGAATTTTGGCAAGCCCTCCCGAGGAAGAAGTGTCCCATGAGGTGCGGGGTATTGTTTTTCACTTACACGTGGACTCCCTCCTCTCTTGGAACCGTCTTGGGGCCCCTTTGGAGCTTTTTGGGGGCCCTCTTGGGGCCATCTTGGGCAGGAACGGGATGGCCGAAAAACCTTTCAGACCGAACCGCCAACGCCCCGGAACGCTTTTTCTGGGACCATTCCCGCACGGCGCGTGTTCCAGGAGGCGCGGGGTATGGTTTTTCCATACAGGTTACACTCCCTTCCTCGACCTCCTTCTCCTCGTTGCCCACGGTTCCCTCTGCACAGTGGCTGCCGTCGTTTGCCAGTCACGTCGCTCCACCCACCTCTCGGGTTACTGCCGATGCTGCCATATCCGATGCTGCTGCAAACGATGCTCTCGGTGCCGACAGGATCATCGAGCACCCAGCTCGCCCTGAAGCACTGCGCAGTAGCATGCGCCCTCCCAATACATTAGCAATCGTGGACGGTAGTCCACAGGTCAGCCCTAGGTTTCCTACATGGCCAGTGGATCCGCGTGCGAGAAGGTTCACAGGGCCTCGAGTGCACAAAATCGCTTCGTGTGCCTCCACGGGGCCGAATCGCTCAGGCCGGTCCCAGAGGCGCTCCAGAGGGGTTCCCAGACCGTCCAAGAGCGCTCCAAGACGACCTCAGTGGGTCACGAGACGGCCCACGAGGGCCCGAAGCCTTCCGGGGAGAGCTCCACGACGATCCAAGAGGCCGCAAAGACGCCCCAAGAGGGCCCCGAGCGCACGCCAAAGAGGCACAAATCGTCAAATTCCGATGGGAAAACGTATATTTTCAGCATGCCCGCCGTGTGTGCTCCTCAGCGGCCCAGGACACGTCAAGAGGCCTCCCAAATCGCCCCAAGAAAACGCCAGCGGCCCGTAAGAGGGCTCCAAGAGGGCCCACAAGAGCCCCAAGACGACGCCAGAGAGCCCTGAAAAAGCTTCACAGAACCCCAAGACGGCCTCAAGAGAGCTCCGAGGGGGCCCCAAGAGGCTCCCAAGACGGCCTCAGGCAGCCTCAAGAGAGCTCCAAGACGGTCCAAGGCTTCCCGGACGCCCCGTGACGGCCCAAAAAGGCCCCAACAAAACGTCCCAAAACGCTCCCAGAGCAGCCCCAAAAAGCTTCAGAAGGGCCCGAAAGAGACCCCCACAAGGACCACCAAGCAGGCCCAGAGACGCCCACTAAAAGAGCGATCGGTGAAGTACAAAGCTCTTCTCACCAAGGCTCCCAAGAGCGAGACGCAGCGTAGAGAGCTCTCCCAGGCACAGCTCCCAAGAGCGAGCGGTGACGTCGGGACACCCTTCCGACCTCTCACACAGGAGCACGCACGCACAGCACGCAAGCACAATAGATTTCCTGGGCTGTCCCTCGGAAGAGGCTCGGGGGGACAGCCCGGGAACGGCCCCAGAGGCGCCCCAAAAAATTATCCTGGCGAAGGTCCCAACCATATGCAGTTGTGGGTACCGTAATTGTGAATATCTGCTTCGGTGAAGCTCCCCATGGGGCCACGAAGCGCTGCACTGGGCGGGGGGAACGCTGTACTGTGTGGGTGGTGTGCCGAATTGGGTTTCCGGGACGCATGCGGACGGTCCCACTGGGGGCTTCGGTGGAGTTCCCTATGGGGCCACTAAGCGCTCTACTGAGAAATTGAAAATGCCAAATTGGGCTACCGGGATGCATGCGGACGGTCCCACTGGGGGCTTCGGTGGAGCCCCTTATGGGGCCACGAAGCGCTGCACTGCGCGGGTGAAAATGCCAAATTACATTTCCCGGACGCATGCGGACGGTGACATTGGGGCCTTGGGTGGAGCCCCCTATGGGGCCACGAAACGCTGCACTAGGTGGGTGAAAATGCCAGATTGGGCTTCCGGGGCGCATGCGGACGGGGGCACTGGGGCCTTCGGTGGAGCTCCCCATGGGGCCACGAAACGTTGTACTGGGTGTGTGAAACGCAGGAAGAAGGGGGAGGAGGGCCACGAAACGTTGCACTGGGTGTGCGGGACGCATGCGGACGGTAGCGCTGGGACCTTCGGTGGGCCTCCCTATGGGGCCACGGAGCGCTGTGCTGGGTGTGCGGGACGCATGCGGACGGTAGCACTGGGACCTTCGGTGGGGCTCCCTATGGGGCCACGAAGCGTTGTACTGGGTGGGTGAAACGCAGGGAGGAGGGGGAGGAGGGCCACGAAACGCTGTATTGGTTGTGCGGAACGCATGCGGACGGTAGCACTGGGACTTTCGGTGGGCCTCCCTATGGGGCCACGAAGCGCTGTACTGGGTGTGCGGGACGCATGCTGCGGCAAACGAAATCATTGATTCTTCTATGGTTCCTGAAAGATTTCCACCTTCTCGCCATTTCAGGCGAAGACAGGCCTTTTCGAGCCAAGACTGGCCCAAGATGACGTGGACGAAGTCCACGGGTTCGCCCTAGTCTCTCCTACAATGCTGGGATCAGCGCGTGCGAGAAGGGCGGGCAGTGGCAGCGGGCGCTGGCGCTGCTGAGCGAGATGTGGGAGGCGAAGCTGGAGCCCGACGTCATCTAACCTACAATACCGGGCAGTGCGCGTGCCAGAGTGCCATTGGGGCCAGCCTCGCCGGGCCCCCGAGAAGGCCCAAGAAGCTCCCAGACTCCCCACGAGGCCCCCAAGACAGCCCGGGAGGCCTCCAGGACCGCCTCAAGACAGTCCAACAGGGACCCAGGACGGCCCAGGAGCGCCCCAACACCGCCCAGGAAGCCCTGGGAACCGCCCACACGGCCCCCTAGAAGCCCCCCGAGACTCAAAACCAGGCCCATTCCCCTGGTAAAACGTACATTTCCCGTATACGCACATCCTCGGACCTCACGGCACCCAGGAGGGCCTCAGAGGCGCCCATGACGGCCCCAATGTTCCCCAACAGGCCCTCAAGACGGCCCATTCGATACCCAAAACTGCCTCAGAGGAGCCCCAGAGGGCTTCGAAAGGCTCCCGCGAGGCTCCCATAGATGGCCCCCAAGACGACCCGGGAGCGCCCCGACAGGGGCTCCAGGCGGCCCCAGACCTCCAAGACGGCCCAGAACAGCCCCAGGAAGGCCCATTCAATACCCAACACTGCCTCAACGGAGCCCCCGAGGGCTTCGAAAGGCTCCCGCCAGGCTCCCATAGATGGCCCCCAAGAGGACCCAGGAGCGCCCCCAGAGGGGCCCTCAGCGGCCCCAGACCCCCAAGACGGCCCAGAACAGCTTCAGAGAAGACCCAAGAGGGCCCCAACCCTCCCCAACAGGGTCCCATCAGGAGCCCTCAAGCAGGCTGGCATGGGCCCTCCGAGGCCCCAGACGGCCCATGAACACCAAGAGGCCCAGAACAGCCCCAGGAAGGCTCGAGAGAGCCCCAACCCTGCCCACAAGGGTCCCAACAGGATTCCTCAAGAAGGCTGCCATGGGCCCTCCGACCGCTCCAGCTCCGGAACACCCCCCACCCCTCTGAGCAAAGGAGGAGGGGGGACCACGCCTTCGACGAGGAGGGGGAGCAGAACAAGGCAGCCTGCACCTCGCTGCTCGTGCACGACGCCTGCGCCCAGAAGGACACGCACTTCATCCAGGCGCTCCCTCTCTCTCCTCCTTCCTCGTCCTACTTCCCCTGTCCTCCGTGCCTCCCACGCTGCGCCGCAGACCTGGGCTCAACCGCTGCCTCACCGCTACCCACCCTGCCCCGGGCACAGCATCCGGGCGCCGCCATGCGCACCGTAGCCGACCACCTGAAAGCCTTGTGGAAAAACACGGAGAAGAAATGGCCGGGACTTCACTACGGCCACTTCGCCCTCCTCTCCCTTTTCTTCGTGGTCAAGAACGCGATGACAGTCCTTCAGTGCACCGCCGGGGACACTCTACCACACAAGGTCCTCGACGCCCTCACGTCCATTGGCATCGAAGTTGTCACAGGCACCACTTGGGGTGAGTTCTTCTGGAACGGGCTCCCGCCGTCATCCCACAGCCTCCTCCCTTGGTCAGCCACCCTCGGACTCCGGATGTTGGACGACCTGAAGTTCAACCTTCTGCCTGTGTGTTTGAATCCTCCAGACCTCCTGCTGGACATGGTCATCGCCACCAAGGGCTGCGAGTGGACTGACCTCCACCTCATGGCCACTATCACAAGGAGGTACCTGAACGAAGGTTTCCACATGATGCTCTTCTTCACGCTTCTCGTGCTATTTCACAACAAGACGCTGACTCTTCGATCGACGGCGGCCTCCGCCGCGCGCGCCGCGCGCAGCTCCGGAATGGCAGCGCCGGAGGATATCTTGAAAGTGTTGAAGACATTTTGGAGCGACAGCCGGGTAGTCGAGCACGCGTTGCGTTTGACAGTCGACATTGCTGGCTGCCATCCGAGAACCGGGTATCAGTGCCCTCCTGTGGAAAACAACAGTGCGGGCGCCGACAAGATCACCTCCCTCGTCGCTTACCTGTTCGGCCCGTACGCCAAGTGGCTGGAGCGCCACAGTCTGGCGCACTCAGTTGCTGCGCCAGGATCGGAGATACTCTTCCCCCAGAAGCGGCGGAGACCCCGCGGATGGAAACATTGAGTTCCATTCAGTTTCTGCGCCAGGTTCGATGCTACTTCCTGACTGGTGTGGGTATTCAGTTGCTGCGCCAGGCGTGGGCATTCAGTTGCTGCGTCGGGATCGGAGGTACTGTTACCCCAGCAGCGGCGGATATCATATAGGGGGCCCTGCAAGGGAAAACGCATCTTCGCCGCGTCACGAAACATTCCTCCCGCTAGAGGACCTCGCACAAATAGGCCCTGAACCTTGCCGCAAACGCCCGGGACGGCTTCTTCGAGACCCCCGCTAGCTCGCGGCGTGCACCAACAGATGCGGGTCGCCGTTTTCCCCTCAGATCGCTCCGTCTTCTCAGTCGTCCTCTCAAATGTCCACTTATCGGTCTACCTCGCCTACTCCTGCAGCAAAGGTTGCTCCTCCCCTACCCTGTGGGCCCCTGTTGGTAACCTACAATACCGGGCAGTGCGCGTGCCAGAGTGCCATTGGGGCCAGCCTCGCCGGGCCCCCGAGAAGGCCCAAGAAGCTCCCAGACTCCCCACGAGGCCCCCAAGACAGCCCGGGAGGCCTCCAGGACCGCCTCAAGACAGTCCAACAGGGACCCAGGACGGCCCAGGAGCGCCCCAACACCGCCCAGGAAGCCCTGGGAACCGCCCACACGGCCCCCTAGAAGCCCCCCGAGACTCAAAACCAGGCCCATTCCCCTGGTAAAACGTACATTTCCCGTATACGCACATCCTCGGACCTCACGGCACCCAGGAGGGCCTCAGAGGCGCCCATGACGGCCCCAATGTTCCCCAACAGGCCCTCAAGACGGCCCATTCGATACCCAAAACTGCCTCAGAGGAGCCCCAGAGGGCTTCGAAAGGCTCCCGCGAGGCTCCCATAGATGGCCCCCAAGACGACCCGGGAGCGCCCCGACAGGGGCTCCAGGCGGCCCCAGACCTCCAAGACGGCCCAGAACAGCCCCAGGAAGGCCCATTCAATACCCAACACTGCCTCAACGGAGCCCCCGAGGGCTTCGAAAGGCTCCCGCCAGGCTCCCATAGATGGCCCCCAAGAGGACCCAGGAGCGCCCCCAGAGGGGCCCTCAGCGGCCCCAGACCCCCAAGACGGCCCAGAACAGCTTCAGAGAAGACCCAAGAGGGCCCCAACCCTCCCCAACAGGGTCCCATCAGGAGCCCTCAAGCAGGCTGGCATGGGCCCTCCGAGGTCCCAGACGGCCCATGAACACCAAGAGGCCCAGAACAGCCCCAGGAAGGCTCGAGAGAGCCCCAACCCTGCCCACAAGGGTCCCAACAGGATTCCTCAAGAAGGCTGCCATGGGCCCTCCGACCGCTCCAGCTCCGGAACACCCCCCACCCCTCTGAGCAAAGGAGGAGGGGGGACCACGCCTTCGACGAGGAGGGGGAGCAGAACAAGGCAGCCTGCACCTCGCTGCTCGTGCACGACGCCTGCGCCCAGAAGGACACGCACTTCATCCAGGCGCTCCCTCTCTCTCCTCCTTCCTCGTCCTACTTCCCCTGTCCTCCGTGCCTCCCACGCTGCGCCGCAGACCTGGGCTCAACCGCTGCCTCACCGCTACCCGCCCTGCCCCGGGCGCAGCATCCGGGCGCCGCCATGCGCGCCGTAGCCGACCACCTGAAAGCCTTGTGGAAAAACACGGAGAAGAAATGGCCAGGACTTCACTACGGCCACTTCGCCCTCCTCTCCATTTTCTTCGTGGTCAAGAACGCGATGACAGTCCTTCAGTGCACCGCCGGGGACACTCTACCACACAAGGTCCTCGACGCCCTCACGTCCATTGGCATCGAAGTTGTCACAGGCACCACTTGGGGTGAGTTCTTCTGGAACGGGCTCCCGCCGTCATCCCACAGCCTCCTCCCTTGGTCAGCCACCCTCGGACTCCGGATGTTGGACGACCTGAAGTTCAACCTTCTGCCTGTGTGTTTGAATCCTCCAGACCTCCTGCTGGACATGGTCATCGCCACCAAGGGCTGCGAGTGGACTGACCTCCACCTCATGGCCACTATCACAAGGAGGTACCTGAACGAAGGTTTCCACATGATGCTCTTCTTCACGCTTCTCGTGCTATTTCACAACAAGACGCTGACTCTTCGATCGACGGCGGCCTCCGCCGCGCGCGCCGCGCGCAGCTCCGGAATGGCAGCGCCGGAGGATATCTTGAAAGTGTTGAAGACATTTTGGAGCGACAGCCGGGTAGTCGAGCACGCGTTGCGTTTGACAGTCGACATTGCTGGCTGCCATCCGAGAACCGGGTATCAGTGCCCTCCTGTGGAAAACAACAGTGCGGGCGCCGACAAGATCACCTCCCTCGTCGCTTACCTGTTCGGCCCGTACGCCAAGTGGCTGGAGCGCCACAGTCTGGCGCAATCCCTTGCAGATCCTCCGTGCCGCACGCTCAAGTCGTTCCAAATGTACCAGGTGGCCATGGCCGTCAGGCATTTCGCTTTCGCGCACAACACGTGCCTCAGCCACTTCGACCATCAGTTAGTCAGCGGGCCTGGAATGGTCCCTTTCGCCCTCCGGATGGCCGGCGCAGCCGCCTGCTCATACACGAGCGACGGCGGCGACGAGGCCGCTCAGGGACAGTGGGCCGACGACGACGCCGACCAGGACGACGTCGACGGCACCCGCAAGCGCATCAGGACTGACGAAGCAGGCGCTTGGGCCACAGCGCGCAGAAATCTCGACCGTGCCAGCCGCATCCACGTCGGCAGCCGTCGGGAGCAGGGCGTGGCAGCAGCGGTCACGCAGGTCGTGCGCGAGGCGCTGCTTAACGACGACCTGCAGAACGCCCTCTTCGGTGCCGTGGCCGTGCACGACTCGAGGAACCGACAGCGTTCGTCTCGCTTCAACGAGCACTGGGCGCAGCGCCTGCGAGGCTACGACGCGCTCGAATACACGCAGTGCGAACTGGACCGCGCGATCTCCAGGATCGTCCTGCGCCGCAGTAAGAGGATCCTCGACGGTGACCTGGCCACGGCGTACAACAAGTACGTGACCGACCTCCGCGCCAAGCAAGTCGCCACCGTGAGGCGCCTCCTAGGCGCTATTCGGTGATCGACGCCACGACAGGAAAAACCATATCCCAACCCATCGGGAACACGTGCCGGCCGAACGGTGGGGCGAGCCCCCCCGCGCCACCCACCCGCGCTAGAACGACGAACCAGCACCACGCTGTCCTTCGACCCGGCATCACGCTGGACTCCTGGCGGACGGGACGAATTCCCATTGGCCTTGGGCCATGCTTTTTCTTCCAAAGTGCACTCACAATTTCTTCTCTTCTACTCCTCCCTTCTCCTCCAACGCTTCCTTCCAAACTCCCCTCTGCTTTCGCCCATCGCGTCCTCGTCTCCCTCTTCGCCTCACCCCCCCCCTCCCCCGCAATTCCGCCTACTCATGCTCCTGCTGGTACTCCCCCTGCTCCTCCCCCTTCCTGCTCCCGTTCCCTCCTCTCCTCTTCCTCTGTCTTCTCCGCCTTCTCTTCCACAGATTCAGCCGGCGACGCCGCCCGCCTGGCACTCTGCGTCCCGGCAGCTTGCCGAGACAGCTTTTTAGCATGAGGGAGAACGTTCCTGTGGGCCACGAGTCCAGTGGGACAAAAACCCGGGAACCCCTGGATCCTTTCCCCTACTTCGCTGCCTTCCTTTCTCTCCTCCGCCTTCGCCCTGCGCGTGTCTGAGCCCTCTTCGCCCCCTCCCCCCCTCTCCCGCAATGCCGCCTCCTCGTCCTCCAACTACACTCCCCCTCCTGCTCCCCCTTCCGGTTCACTTTCCCTGCTCGCCTCATCCTCCGTCTTCTCCGCCTTCTGCTCCACACCTTCTGCAAGCTCCCAAGAACCCCAAAGCCCCGGGATGCCGAAAACGAAACAAAAAACACCAGGACCCCTTCCCCACAGGACCCTTTTCCCTCATGGTGAACATATACCCATCTGCAGAGAGCCATACCACACACCTCGCGGGCCACGTCGAACGCTTCGCCGCTGGCGTGGCAAAAAATACCCCGTACCTCGTGGGCCACCTCTCGTGCGGTAGGACGTCGTCATTCTGCCCTCCGGGGCACCCCCGTGGAATTCTCCACGTGTTTTTGC